TATTCATATTTTCCCGGTCGGCCGGATTGGCTCAGTAATTGAGAGCCGACCTATGAACCAGGGTTTGATTCCTGGTCAGGGCACATGATCAGGTTATGGACTCTATCCCCAGGGCGGGGCGTACAGGAGGCAGCCAATCAATGATGCGTTCTCATCATTGATCTCTCTCTCTCCCTCTCTCTCTCTCTCTCTTTCTCTCCCTTCATCTCTGAAATCAACAAAAAAATATATTTAAGTGTTATGGGTTCAATCAGCGAGATAGACCACCGACTTAGAATTTAAATTTAGGAGCCTTTATTAAGCTGGCCAGCTGACTACAGGGCGTCCTGCCCCCTCTGGGAGCCTTGCAGCTTGTAGTGCAGACCAAGGGTCCCGCAAGGCTTTAATTTGGGAGAACTACAAAGCATTAACTGGCAGGGTAAAAGTTCAGTAGGAAAACAGGGTCACGCCTGGCTGGAGCATATCATAACCCTTTGTTTTTCTAAGACAATCTAGTAATTTTTCTCTGCCACAGTCCCTGACCCTAACACAATCAGTAACCTTTCCATGCCTCAGTCCCTCCCCCCAGCACATTCCCTACTGGTCTTATGCCCGAATCAAATCTTTGATTCAGCGCCCTCCTCGACGATATGAAATTGAGGAGGCATTTGGCAATGTAGGGGCCGAATAGTAGCCCGAGGAGGAGCAGAACGACTGGTCCTGCCAAGGAGGAGAGCAGGGTCGTTGTTGAGCCACCGGGGAAGAGTCTGGTGCTAGATGGTGAAGAATTGGCCAGGGTCTCGGCCACTGACATAGAGTCTTAGTCCCCACGTCTTTCCCCTCCCCATTGGTCAGTCCACCAGGAGAGAGGCATGAGGAGGACGGGGTTACAATTTCTAGTTCCTCTTTCCTGCGACTTTGATGGCGGTTGGAGTGCTCAGCACCACCTGGTAGGGTCCATCCCATCTAGGTTCCAGGCTGCCAGGTTCATGGCGCTTCACCCAGACGAGATCACCGGGAGAGAAGGCAGGCTGCATTGGACTGGTTCTCGGTGCGTCCTCCTCCCCTACGGCTCTCACCACCCGTTGTGCCGACGTGGCGCTGCTCTGCAAAGCCTGTAAGGACTTAAGCAAATTTCAGGTAGACAGCCGGGCAATTTCTTCCTCCCTTAGGCGGGGAAGAAGAGGTGGCGGCCTGCCAAACATAATTTCAAAAGGGGTGAGTCCTTTTATGTACGGGGTACACCTAGCTCTGAGGAGGGCAAAAGAAAGGAGACTTACCCAGTTTTCGCCAGTCTCTAATTTTAACTTAGTTAATGTTTCCTTTAAGGTCCGATTCATCCTCTCTACCTGTCCAGAACTCTGTGGTCTATAAACACAATGCAATTTCCAAGTAACCCTCAGGGCCTTAACTATGGATTGTGTAACTTTGGCGATAAACGCTGGGTTATTGTCAGACCCCATGTATAGTGGCAGGCCAAACCGGGGGACAATTTCAGTGAGGAGTTTCCTAACTACTACCTGTGCTGTCTCTGTCTTGGTTGGGTATGCCTCAGGCCAGCCAGAGAAGGTATCAATGAAAACCAGCAGGTACTTATACCCTCTTGTCCTCCTGTTATCTCGGTGAAGTCCACTTCCCAGTGTTCTCCAGGGTTCTGACCTCGGAATCGCTGCCCCAGCGCGGCCACAACAGGGGGCCCTTGGTTCACCCGGGCACACACTTGGCACCTTCTAGCCAAGTCTTGGGATAGTTTCTGGAGCCCTGGGATGTAAAATTCTCTTCCCAGTAGTTCTGATAGCTTCGTTCCCCCCAGGTGGGTACTCTGGTGGGTCTGGGAAGCGATGGTCCGCCCGGGGGCTTCTGGCACTATAGGCCTCCCGTCCAGCAGAATTAGCCATCCAGCCTCTCCTTCCCGGACCCTTAGTTTCTCAGCTAGCCTCTGCTCCTCCAGCAGATGAGTAGGCTTCTCTGGGAGCCTTGGTGCTGGCAGGGCTACGAGAACTTCTAGGGGCCCTACTGGTCTTTTAGCCACTTCCTTGGCCCCTATATGGCTGCCAGGAGGTTGAGTATCTCAGGAGCATTTTTCCTTTTCTCCTGATGTCAGGAGACCTCTTTAAGGTGGCTCCCGTGTCCTCCTGAAGGGTAGTGTGAGGAGATATATCCCTGCATTCCCTGGGTAGGTCTGGCAGGGCGATTGCAGGGGCGCTCACCAGGGCTTCTTTCTAATCCTGGCAGATTGTAGATTTCCCTTGGCTCCTCATCATGTCACTACTGCCGCCCCCGCATACCGGGTACCTTCCTCTATGAAGCTGCTCCTGTCCGTGTAGAGGGTCTCATCCTGATTCTGCAGGGGCTGGTCCACAAGGTCCTCGCGGAGGGAAGTGAGGGTAGTCAGTGTCTCCTCCCAGTCATGAAAAGGGGCCTCTGCATCTTCGTCAGGGAGGAGTGTGGCAGGGTTCAAGGCAGCTGTTTTCAGGAAGCTGAAATGTTCACTCCTTTTTCCTTTCCCCACTAGAGGGCCTGAGTGAGTGCTATGAGTTCTACAAGGAAGTCCACCTTTTCTGTCAGGGTTATCCTGAGCTCTTGGGAGCCAGCTGAGCCCTGACAACCCTGATCCACCTCCTCCACCAGCACAGGAGGGAGTCGGTTCCCCCGCATGTTCAGGGCACTCCCTTTTCCAATATCCCTGCTTTTTGCAAAATGCACACTGATTTTTCCCAAGCCAGGTCGGACTCCTTTTCTCCCACAAGGCTTTTCTTTGCCCTTGTTGTCTCTCCAGCCCCTTGGGCCTTTTTCCTCACTTATGGCCAGGAGGACCTTTGCCATCCTGGTGTTTAAACCTGCTTTCGGGTCCTCCCGATTGTTAAAAACCTTCTGGGCCACCTCAACCAACTCAGAGCTTGATTTCCCCTTAAAGCCCTCTAACTTCTATAATTTTTTTTTAATATATTGGGCCGACTGGGAAACAAATGCAACATTGACAGCCCTCCAATTTTCCGGGGCATCAGGGTTAGGCCCCTGGGTTGCCTCTGTCACTTTAGAGAGGGTTGTGGGTCTCCGAGCAGCAGCTCGGATGCCCCCCAATAAAGTTTGGTGATACCGATCGATCGAGAGCCTCCTTTCCCCTGTCACTATAGGGGTTCCAGTCGGGTTGCCTGGAGGGAAACACAGCCTCTAATCTGTCTTGGTCAGATGTAGTCTGTCTATCCAGACCCAGAACAAGTTTCCTCCCTTCCGCCCTGACTCTCCCTCTCTCTCTCTGTCTCCATACGGTGTCCCTTGCCTAGTGTGAGGAGGGAAGAATGGAGCCGGGTCCTGGACTGGTGTTTCCGGACAAAAGGAAACCGGCTGTAGAGGAGGCAGGGGTCCTGGATCAGGGTCTTTAGCCACCGTGGGACCGGTGGGTGGAGGAGCATACGGGGGAGGCCTGACCCTGGGGAGTGCCTCCTCACTTGGACCTTGGAGAACAGGGGGAGTTTTGCCCTTATGGGCTGAAGCCAAGAGGACTGTCTGTCTCTGTCCCAATTTCTTTTCCTTATTCTGACAACTCCTTAACTACCTTGGTTTTTCAGTCAAAATATCGACCCACACTTGAATATAGGGAATTTGGTCAGGGTGACCCGGCCGGCCGTAGACAACATGGTGAACCCGATAAGCAGTGGTTAAATCATAAGTCCCTGCGTCCGGCCATCCCACCTTGAAAGTGGGCCACTTCCGTTCACAGAATTTCTGCAAATCAAGAGCATTAACATTATAACCTTTAAATCTACCCCAGAAATTTAATTTAATACAGTAAACTTACAACCTACGTAAGAGCAACTGATAGACAGAAATCTTTATTAGCTAAGTGGGCTGGTTCCCCTTTAATAGTGAGCAAAAGACTCTGAGAAAAATAATTCGCGCAGCTGCAAGAGACTTTTGCAGACCATCACGGGTCCAGCCCAAACGTTCAGCCAAGCGTATCAACAGAAAAGCAGAATAAATCAAAGTAGCTTTCACTTCACACAGACCAGTTAATGAGCAGCCAAGGCAGACAAACACCCGTACTTACACTCTCTTAGTAGACTAGCCCAGGCTGGAGCTGTATTCAGTCCCCCTTTTCAGTAGTAAATTGGCTAGCCCTACACAAACAAACAGCTGTTTATTCATAATTCCTCAATTGAATCACTTTTTTTTCTTTCAATATGCAATTGAGAACAGTGGGTTTACTTTGTCCCAACCCCATGATGATTGGTGGCGAGAGACAGACAAGGGGGGGGTTGACCTGTTTTCACAGATCCTCATGCAGATGCCCACCTGGCCACGTCCCTTGGGAGCTAAGATTGGTCTTAGCAAAGGTGCACCCGTATAAACCCCGGGCCTGGTCACCTCCACGTGAGGGTGAGTCACCATTATGCCATATGATGAATCGTGGAACCGCAGGTTGGGGCCCACTCGGACTCCGTAACCAAAGTCGTGGAGCCACACAAAGGAGAGGAGAGGGCAGGCCCCCTCCCTCCACACTCACACACTTTCACCAGACATTCACTCAGAGTTTAAACAATCCACCCAATTCCTAACTAATTCCCAATTCCTGAGGGAGCTCTATAGTTTCCCGGGAGGTGATCAAGCTCCCCCTCCACTCACTCGGAGTGGGCCTGACTGATAGGGGGTCGACAAAGATGACTGACCCTAACCCATTTTGACAAAGACAAAGACAACAAAGAAAAAAGACAAAACAAACCAGACAAATACTACCTAAGGTTGCCCGGAACCTGCAGCTCGCTCCTTGAAGTCCTGAAAATTTTTCAAAAAACATTGCAACAGGGTGCACACGGAAGCAGACAACTTTTTGACAACAAACACCAAGACAAACAAACACCAGACAGACAAACCCAGTGCAGCCTAAAGACGCACGAATCAGGGACCCCGGCCACCGTCGTGGCCGCGGGTCAGGACCAGGAGTACTGCTGCATCCAGCCCTCCGAATTGGTCCCTCCATGGGACGTCCCAATTCCAGATTAACAACCGGTCTTCCTTACCTCTCCGAGAGTCCAGGTGGCTCGATTTCCGAATCAAAAGTTTTTGGTGGAGTCTCCTCCACTTCCCTGGGACCCGAGACGGAGACTGGAGGCCTCCTTGGTAGTCATTCCCCACAGGTATGGGGTATCTCGCTGCGTGCCCAGCAATAAATGGGGGAGAGCCTCCTGCCTTAAATATGGGGTCCCTCTCACCCCTGCCGGGGGAGAGCCTCCTGCCCTAAATAAGGGGTCCCTCTCACCCCTGCCGGGGATCTCACTGGGGCCTCCAAATGTTATGGGTTCACTCAGCGAGATAGACCACCGACTCCGAATTTAAATTTAGGAGCCTTTATTAAGCTGACCAGCTGACTACAGCGCGTCCCTCCCCCTCTGGGAGCCTCGCAGCTTGCAGTGCAGACCAAGGGTCCCGCAAGGCTTTTATTTGCGATAACTACAAAGCATTAATTGGCAGGGTAAAAGTTCAGTAGGAAAACAGGGTCACACCTGGCTGGAGCATATCATAACACTTTGTTTCTTAAGACAATTAGTAATCTTTCTATGTCATGGTCTCTCCCCCTAGCACATTCAGTAATCTTTCCATGCCGCAGTCCCTCCCCGCAGCACATTATCACTATGAGATTTGGGGAATGGCCCCTCATAGTCCCAGACTGCAATAAATGTGACTCTTTAATTCAACTTCTTGAGGCGTCCTTCTGTGATTCACGGAAGGTGAATGTACATGGGAGTACATTACAACACAGCACCCATGGGGATGTAGGACCTCTACTTCTTTCTAAGGTTCCTGTTAGGTTAGGTGGCTCAGGAGGCAACATAGGAAATAAAGAGAGTCCAGTGAATCAGAAAAAGAAGAGGAAAAGGTTTGTTTCTGTGTCCCTGGGAGACCCACATACCCCCAAAGACAGGGCACGTGGATTCACGCGGGGGGGGGGGGGGGGGGGGGGGAGGCGTTTTTTTATACTGCGGTTGGATGAGGGGCGGGGACATGAGCTGAGGTATTCAGCTGAGGAAGTTTCAGCTGCAGGGGGTCAGCAAGGTATTCAGGAAGGAGTCCGTGTCTGTGTGGGTGTCTGTGTGGGGGTCGTGGAGAAGCCAGTATCTGTGTCTGGCACGCTGATCTGTTAGAAATGCCAGGGGGAGTCCATTATCTCGTCACATGTCTGCATGTATCCGATCCTGGGCTCTCTCCGACCTAACAGTTCCAAAGAGTGGAAAGGTGTTTGGTGGTGTGTGTGTGTGTGTGTGTGTGTGTGTGCGAGCGTGTGTGTTTTGTTTTTTGTTGTGTTTTGTTTGGGGGGGGGGAGTTGTTTTTGTTTTTTTCTTAATCCTCGCCCAAGGATATTTTTTCCATTGATTTTCAGAGAGTGGAAAAGAGAGGGGGAGAGGGAGAAAGGAGGGAGGAGGGAAAGAGAAGAAAGGAGGGGGGAGAGGGAGAAAGGGGGGAGGATGGAGAGAGGGAGAGAGAGAGAGAGAGAGAGAATGTTCATGAGAGAGAGAGATATATCAATTGGTTGTCTCCTGCACACGCCCTGACCAAAGCCAGGGATGGCACCTGCAACCCAGGTATGTGCCTTTGACCAGGAATCACTGGCCAGGATGTGGAAAGGTTTTAATGAGCATCACAAAGGGACTGGGTGAGGGGGAAACAAATTTCAAATCCAGCCTTTATTGCCATGCTTCAGGGGCTGAGGAGGAGGGAGAAGGCTCAACCCTGCTTATCTCTTCCCAGACCCAGAGGCAGCTAGCTGGAGGGCAGTCCCTGAAAGTCTTTCCCCAGCCCAGGGGCTGAGGGAAAGGGGAGATGTCTCTGGTGCTTATGCCAGGAGCAGGAAGACCTGGAGCAGCAAGCTGACCTCCAGAGGTCAAGAGAGACTCAGAATTAGGCAGGAACATCAGATGTTGGCAGGGTAGATGGACTGAGGAAACTCTCGGGTTCCCCAAACAGCACTGAGGGCCTGGATGCCCAGCGTCTGCTGGCTCCAGGGACTGAGACCCTGAGGTAGGCACCCCCAAACTGAGATATGCTCACAAAGAGGCCCTGACATCACCCCCTCCCCCTGTTCAGCATGATCAACAGAAGGTCTGGAGGGAGAAGTGAGGGCAGGGCCTGGGTGGGCAGGAGGCTGGGAAGAGCACGAGGGGCCGGGCATTGGGGCAGTGCCATGAGGGGACGGTGGGGGGTCTTTAGTTGCTGCTCTGCTGCTCCTGCTCGCGGATGAGGTTGGCAATGGGTCTGGTGATGCCTCCTATCAAGGTCCAGTACTCGTCAAAGCTGATGCGTCCATCGTGGTTGGCGTCTAGGTTCTGGATGAGCTTGTCAGCAGCTTTTCGGTTCCCTGTGTCCTGGGGAGGAACCTGGGTCAGCTATGCTGAGAGTGGCAGTCACACAGAACCCCCTAGGCAGAGGCCCCAGATCTGGCTCAGGCCGGGTACCCCAAGAGGACAGAGGCCTGGGCAGGGTCAAGACCCTGGTTTGTGGGGTAACTCTGAAAGAACAGGGGCCGCACTGGGGAGAGACAGGGCTTCGGGGGCTGGGGAGAGACAGGGCCCTTGCATGGGGGCCTTACCGTCAGCATGTGGTTGAGTTCGTGCTGAAGCATCTTTCGGAAGCTGCTCTTGCTGATCTTGTTCTTGACCAGGCTGTGCTTAGACACGTATTTGTAGAAGTTTTCCACCAGAACTACAACCGCCTTCTCCAGCTCTGTGTAGCAGTCCGCCATCACTGCCTCACTCCTCGAAGGGCCTGGGCACCACGAGAATCACAGATGAGAAGAGGCCCCGACAGGCCACTCCTCTTCCCCCACACGCACCCTGGGCCCTGGGTCCTCTAAGCTGACAGGTCCTCCAGGAGGAGGCAGGAAAAGGGAGGCACAGGCGGGTAGCCCTGGAATGAGTACTATGTGGCTCTTCTAATCCAGGTGTTCCCCAGCTCAACTGCCTTAACAGGTTCTCCCGGCCCTTCCCCAGCCCCAGGCACTGGGCTTGTCAGAGTCCCAGTGAGAGCAAGAGGCTCCCGTGGGAAGAGAGTAAGTGCCCATCCCTCCACCATCTACACACCTGTCTCACCCAGGCCCTCTGCCCTGGGGGCAAACACAGCTAGGAGCAGCTAGGATGAGCCAAGATGGCTGGGACAGGAGCCATAGTCCCCTACCAAGACACCAAGATTGGCTGAGACCCCAGGCAACAAAGCAGAGGCAAGGAACTAGGCCCTCCGCAATCCATCCGGCCAGGGGCCAGGAAAGGGAGTCCAGACTCTCAGGCCATGGCCGCTGCTGGGAAAGGACAATGTCCGGATTCATTGAGTCAGACATTCTGCAGACTCCCAGCCACACCCCGTTAGCCTAGCCTCCCTCAGACCCACCCCAAAATATGCAACAGGCCCCAAGGACCCTTCACCCGATTACCTAAAGAGGAGCCAGGCCAGGTCTGCCCCAGCTGGAGACAGCTGCCCCTAGCCAGCCAGCCAGAGGCCACACAGTCACCTCCTCACCCCGGGACAAAAGACACTCACATTCCCAGTGTATACAGCTCTCTGAATAACAGGATATGGGACAGGCGGATCTAGTCTGAGTCGCCGCCCATGCCCAGTGCCCCCCCCCAGTGAACCCGGGCAATGAGCCTCCACTCACGCCCCCAAGCCCAGGAAGGAGCTGCAGCCACCCTGCCCATCAGATCCTGGTGAGGGAAGGGCCTGGGTATTCACAGTTCAAGTCCTTGTCCCTCCCACCTGCTTTCGAAGGCCGTCTTCCTCTGTGCCCACTGCCCTGCCCTCACTGCCTAGCTAAAGCCTACTGGAACTGCCCCTCCCACGGGAAGCCTGCCCTGCCCCCTGCCCTCCATGCCCTCCTCCCCTGGCTCCCATAGACTCTCAGTTGGCATTGGCAGGGGCTCACTAACTGGTATCGCTGCAGCCTTTTCCTGGGTCTTATAATCTCCCCAGATACCAGACATTCCTGGAAGCAAGGAGTGTGTTTCTGACACACAGCCATTGTGTATTCTGAACCACACAGAAGGACAAGGCTTTGGGGCCCTTTTTTAAAAATCCTGGATAGACAACCTCACTGTTTTATTATATATATATATATATATATATATATATATATATATATATATATATATATCCCTTAGAGAGAGAGGAAGGGCAAGGGAGAGAGAGAAACATTGATGTGAGAGCCAGACATCTATCCTTGCCTCACATCTTACCCTCCACCCCTCCCCGCCCCTCAAGGAGGGATCAAGCCTGAAAGACTGGGCGTGTGCCCTGACCCGAAATCGAACCAGCAACCTTTCTGTGCTTGGGACTACACCCAACCAACTGAGCCACACCAGCCAGGGCTTAAAGCTTTTTTAATCTCTGCATCTCTTCTAGCCTATATTGCTCAGCCCAGTGCTTTGTTCAAGGAAGATGTTCCATAAATGCCCTGCTTCCTTCCAGCCCTGAAACCAGGTGTGCAAAGGCCTCTGACCACTCTTCTAATGTCTGTTGGTTTTTGTTGTTGTTGTTTGCAAAGCTTTTTTGGGAGGTAGAATGAGACTGGACCAGGATGCAGGAAGGAAGGAAAGTTGAGAGAGAGAGAGAGAGAGGTCAGGCTGGGGCATCTCTGACCAGGAATCCTTCTCTTATCTGCCCTGGTCTGTGACTGAAAGGATGAAGTATGGAAGCAGCACGGCAGGAATCCCGTTTCAGCAAGGATCGTGCCAAGTGTACTCCCCACCAAGCTTTGCGAGTGGCAAGAGAGTTCAGAGAGTGCCCCACCCTTAACCATCCCAGACCTTGTTCTCTAAGTGAGGAATTTTGTGGAAAATAAGAAGAGGAAATGGAAAGAAATCCAGTTTAGGGGATAGCATGTCTTGCCCCTTCCCCCAAAGCCTGCCCATCCCTCCCACCACCTGTCTCCTTGTAGTCTTGTTTCTCTGACCAGAGGAACCTCCTGGCCTTCGTTGATACCACACCTCAGTCCCTACTGAGTCTCTGGCAGCCAAGGTGGCAGGACCCAGGTGAGCACCTGGTTGACAATCAGCCACCTGCTGTCAGGTGTGCGATCACCCCAGAGAGCTTTAGCAGCTCCGGGTTTCAGTCCCCAGACCCCCCAATAGTCTGCCCATCACTCATCCACACCTTCTCCTTCTTTTAAATCAAATGGACATCTCTGGAGATTCATCTGGATAAGTGCCTTTCTGAAGGAAGAATGCCAGAGTGGGGTAGTCATGCGTCTCCACCCTCTTCCGCCCTTCCTCCTCCCCTAGGGGCTGGGAGACAGGCTCTGCCACTACACCCATGTCATAGCCACCTGCTCCTCCCTGCCTGCCCCATCCCCCCACCAAGGAGGCAGCATGGTCCCAGGCACAGGATGGAGGCGGTGAGGGCAGGCCACATGTTGTTCCATCAGAAGGTAGGTCCTGTATTGACTTTGCTACAGGTAGATCCTGGCCTAAGCATTGGGGGGAGGTAGACATGTCCATTAGAACCTTCCCAAAAAGTGGGAATGGGGAGGCCACTGGTTCTCCAAAGGACCCCTCACCTGGGACCCTCAACCCTCCCCCAATGTTCTCATTGTCTTTTCCTTGAGGGATTCATTATTGAGCAACCAAGAAGCCCCTATCCCCACCCCCACTCACCTCAGCCCAGCTTGATGACTTCTCCAAAAGCGCAAATTGCCCAGACACCATGCCCTGGGACTCAGCCACTCCAGCCCCACCCTTCCACCCACAGGTTCTGGGCCCCACCCCTCCAGGTGCCTCCTAACCATCCCCCATCTCTTAACTCTCCAATCCCCTTCAATCTGGAGCCCTGAACATCCACCATACTCTTCAAAATTCACCTCCCCCTCCCAGCTTCTGCACACACTTCTTGAGTCTTAAATTGTTTCCAAATGTCCTGTGTTAGAGTAAGCAGAGAGAGAGATAGGAGCTGGGAGAGGTTGGGAGAGGCAGCTGGGGCCTGGAGAAAGCAAGTGTGAGACACGACAACCTGAAAATAGACAATGGAGATACCAGGCCCTTATGTGAGCGGGAAAGATTCAGAGCCCTCCAAGATAGGGCCTAACTCTAAGCGATGGCATAACTCCTAGATGAAGGAGCCTCATAGCTTACAGATGCTTTTTTTTTTGAGACATGAGGGAGGGAATGACTTGCTCCTTGCCTAGGATCATGCCAGCCTAGAGGTATAAATCCTCTAAACTCCCCAATACTGGTATTTGGTCTCAGCCAGCTGAGCTGCCCACTTAGGGCACTTGGTTTGGTTTCATCCCATTCAGGTCCTACCTGAGTGTATTTCTTTCCTACAAATAAATCCTCGCCTGCTTTTGCTACCATAAAGTTGTCTCTTGTTTGAATCCATTCCTACAAGCAAGGTAAGAACTGAGGGCACAGAGTACTTATCTCTGGCCAGAGGCGCCCTTGACCACCGCTGACAGCTGGACTCCTGTCTCTCCTAGTCACCATCCTCTCTAGAGCCTAGCCCACTCCCCAGCCTAAATTTGGCATGCTCTGTGTCCCTTCCCTCTACCTCAAATGTGCTCACTCTTTTATTCACCGTTCATTTGCTTGTTCACTCATTGGCTCATTTATTCATTTATTGACTCATTCATTCATGCATTTCCTTGATTCCCGTCAATATGCAGGGAAGGTGTAATCTGAAGAAGGCTGGTGATGCTTGACTCGATTTGCAAGACTCTTTCTAACTAATCTCTTCAGCCTCCATAGCCCCACTCTCTGCTCTGCCTTCTCCCGGTCTTTTCCCAATTCCAGAGACTACTCTCTCAGACAAGCGCCCCTGCCTCGCCCTTCCCCACCCTCACAGGACTCACTGCATCTAATTCGCACACATGGGTGCACAGCGTGAGGCACTCTGCCATTCCTGCCCCCCTCTACTTGGGTAACCTATCTGCCTTCCGCCCACTTGTGATTTTAGAGAATGTAGCTGGAAGGAGAAGCCTGCTCCTCTAAATTCTTTTCTGGACAAGTAAGCTGGAGGAGTTTGGTGTGGACACACACACACACTCACACACACACACACACACACACACACACACACACACCGCTGCTCCTAGTCTCACCAATACCCAGAGGGCTCTTTACTCTTGGATAGGGAAAGGCTGCGCCCCCTCACCGGCACCTCCAGTGCCCCCTCCCCCAGAACCCCTGCCCTCACCCCCACCCGGACAGGGCTGGGCAGGGGAATGCTCCCACGGCGCAGGTGGCTCCACCAAACAAAGCCAGTCAAGCCAGAACCTGCCTCTGTCCTGAGGTGGAGAAGCTGCCCAGACTCCTGGCCCCTATCCCAGAGCTCCCCGGCGCCCCCGGGATCTCACCCAGGTTCCTCAGGTCCCGTCTGCCCTCCCTGGGAACGGCTCTGAGAGCACAATGGGGCCTGCGTCCGGGGACCTTCCTGAGTCCCCAGGTGGAGAGAAGCCACCTCTCTCCCCCCTCCTCAGGCTCCCAGGCTCCCTGGGCCCTCCCTGGACCCCATTACCTCTCCCAGGACACTGCTCCCAGAGGCCAGGGAGGCCTGTAGCGAGGGTCCGACCTTCCCCAAGCCCCAGCTGCACGCATTTGCCCCGTTTCTGTTAGGAAAGGATTGGAGCAGCCGCGGGCAAAGCTCCCGAACACCCTTCCCGGTGGCCCCGCCGCTGGAGAGGAGCCCAGGCAGCTCCTGGCTGGGGAGGGGGTCTCGCCACCCCGCCCGCTCCTCTGACGGCCACTCCAGTCCCTAATCTTACCAGAATTCTCCATTTGCAAACCAGCCTTTTGGGAAAGTGAATTAACGAAACCTCCCGGCCCAGTCTCTGGCAGGGCCCTCCCTCCTCAGGCCCCTTTACAGCCCCTTCTCGGGGCCTCAAACGCCGCCGACCGCCCAGGACGGGCCTGGGGTGCTCACCTGCCTCCTCGGTTCAACTGCTCTCCAGCGAGGCTCTGGGGCCTGGGCTCTGGCACCGCCAAGCAGCAACCCTCACTCAGCCCAGCCAGGACTCCTCCCCACCGCACTCCCCAATGGGTCCCACTCCCTCCTTCCCTGCCTGGCGGAGCTGGCTCAGTGGGGAGGTAGTGACTGAGCTCCCTCTTGTCTTGGCCCTGGGGTTGGGCCCTCGTTAAAGGGATACACACCTTTTTTAACACCCCTCCACCCCACCCCAGCAGGAGGGGTGGAAGCTGGCATTCTGTCAACCCCACCCTCCTAACCCCGCAGGGCCTGACAGAGCCTACCAGGTGGAGAGAGGAAGGGAAGGACTGTCACCTGCCCTTCTCACCTAGGTCACTGGAGCTCAGGGTCAGGGGCCCCAAGCAGACATGTGCGGGTTGCACTCCAGGCCAGCTTGGCTGGCCTCAGAAACGGCCTTGCCCTTGGGATCTCAGGAGTAACGCTGGCTTGTGTGCACAAGTCAGAAGGCAGGCACCAGGGACCGGACTCTGGCCCCCTGAGCTACCACCTCCAGGCCAGCCCACCAGGAGCTCTCCTGCCCCCCCATCCCTGGGACTGCTTTTGTGCAGCAGATGTTTCCTTTGGAAATACCCTCTAGCCCAGCCGTGGGCAAACTACGGGAAAAAAAGACCGTACCCTTTTATGTAATGATGTTTACTTTGAATTTATATTAGTTCACACAAACACTCCATCCATGCTTTTGTTCCGGCCCTCCGGTCCAGTTTAAGAACCCATTGTGGCCCTCGAGTCAAAAAGTTTGCCCACCCCTGGTCTAGCCCTTCCCCAAGGAACCCAAGGAACCTGGCCAGTTCCACATCCCCGTGAAGAGGCAGCAGCTGAAAAGAGGGGGGACCCATTCACCAACTCTGGCAGTTCACCGGGCACTCACTGTGCCAGGCTCTGTGATAAGTGCTTTACATGAGGCCTCACATTATCCTAACAATCCTCTGAGGGAAGCACTGTTAATATCCCCATTTTACAGATGAGGAAACTGACCCTGAGACTCACACGGAGGCCACCAGCCCCACATTTGCCTTGCTCCTCACCCAGGCTCCATCCGGCACACTTGGGCTCATGTCCTCTCCTGTCTGAGTGCCAGGCCCTGGCAAAGAGGAGCTCGGCCCTCACAGAGGACCAGGTCTCCCACCTTTGGGGCCTGGCACCGTCCTCAACCCAAATCCCTGGGATAAAGTGGGTCCCTATTCACTTCTACTGACAACCACTACAGCCACACCTGGAACATGCTACCCGATGACTCTGCCACTCACCCCAATCACCTCGCACCCATGGGCCCATGGACCTGGGAAGAAGGTATGCAGGCACAAGACATCTTCCACTTTTTCCATTTTATTTTTATTAATCAAGATATACAAAACAGCCATCATTCTTTAAATGCCCAACCACCCAGCTGGTTCTCGCTCCCCAAGGTCACACCCTTCTTAGCCTGCTCCCCCTCCCCACTGCTCTCCCACTTCCCCTGCCCTCTTCCAAGGACAGTCTTGGGAGGAGGCTGGGGCAGAGCTGGAGGCAGGAAGATAAAGCATTGGACAGACAGCTCGTTTGGGTTGGGGAAGAGAGTAGGAGGGGTAGGTTCTTAGAGACCTTTTTTAATTCCAAATATCCAGCCCTATTCCCAGTCCCTTTCAAATCATTTCCCAAAGTCCAGCTCCTCTCTGCCCAGCACCCACTACCAAATGGCATGGCCCTTAACCATCCTGACCCCTCCACACCATCCCTGGCCCCAGCGCCCCCCTGAACCTCCCTCTGGTGGGGATTCCTGGGCCCATTCGCCCCACAGAGCTCCCAGGGATGAAGTGCAGAGACCCCAGGAGGGGCCGCTATGAAGCTGAACCTTGCAGAGGTGAGGCAGGCGCGGGCTGGGGAACAGTGCGGTGACGGTAAAGAGAGGAGTTTTATTTCCAGGCCCACAGTCTCTAAGGTCCCCTTTCCCCAGCATCCCCCCAAGAATCCCAGGGGAAGGTTCTCAGCTCTCCCGGACAGGCTTCTCCAGCTTCACGCTCTTGGCTGCTTCTCCAATCAGCTCCCAGAAACTTCCAAACTCCAGTTTAGAGTTGTTACAGCTGCCCAGGTTGGCGATTCTATCTTCCAGCCCACAGTTGTTCTGAGGAGAGGAAAGACAACAGCTCAGCAAGCAAGCACCTTCCAATCGTCCCACCCCACCCTGCCCAGGGGCCGAAGCAAGACTTGAGCCTCCCCAGCACTGGCTCGGGGCTGCTAGTGCCAGGGGCTGTGGCTGGGTGGTGGGGTCTTGGAGCATTTGCTTGGGAAGTCAGTGTCCTGCCTGGTGTGGGGTCACCCCCTCAGTACCTGCATAAGGTGAGGCAGCTGCTGGGTCACTAGGTTCTGTAGCTCGGAGGGTGTCAGCGTCTCCTTCCCACCCTCCACCGAGTACTGGTGGAAGTTCTTGATGAGGGTCTCAATGGCCCTCTCCACGTCACTGAATTCCTGGGCATCCTGCAGGTAAGTGACATCACCCACATCAGGGAGGCTCCACCCCACCCTATGACACCCTGCTTTCCCCGGGAACCTAGCCAGGCCAACAGGGCAGAAGACTCTGGAAGGCACACAGGCTCCCGCCCACTCCAGAGCCCAACATCTAGCCCTCCTCACCCCCACTGGCCTCTGCCCTGAGCCACAGGTTGGACAAGGCTTCCTCCCACCACCCACAGCCCGCCCCCCCCCTCCCCAGGCAAGGCAGGTCTCAGCACGTGGCCCAGGCATCCTCTTCCTGGGAGGCCTCCTACTGCATCACCCTGCGTGGGCACCAGAAGGGGGGTTCAGGTCTCAGAGCCAGGGTCTGGAAGGTAGATCACGGCCAAGGCGAGAGGGCAGAGGTCAGTGGGGGAACACAGACCCTCAGGGTAAAGGAGAGAGGAGTGTGGGAACAGAAAGACAGGCCAGGAATGAATGGGCTCACCTCGGCATTGGCTGACCGACACTGTCCCATGGTGCCTGGTGTGCTTGGTCCTTTGGTTGAGAGTTGTGTAGTCTACAGCCTGCCCCGGAGGAGCCGATGGCTCATGATCTACCTAGAGGTGAGGGGAAATCCCAGCGTTTCTTTTTCAACTACCCCCTTTGGCTCCACCCCAGATACTCTGGCCTCATCTAAGGGGTCAGGGTCAGCTCCACACAAAGCCCCGTCCCCACCCAGGCTGCAGGCCAACTCCCAGGCCAACCCATTTAGAGAGAATCCCTTGGACCTCATCTTAGCTTTACTCCTTCCTCTTCCTCCAAACACCCACTTCTGTTCCAGGCACACATACCAGCCTCCAGGGCCTCCTCCCTCCCCCACCACCCTCCCACTCCCCCACCCCCCACCCCCGAGCCCCTTTCCCTGGCAGATTAGAGTAGAATAGTCTAAGCATACCCTCTGGACAGGGACAGCCCGTTTTGGGTGAAAAGCTCTGGATCTCCTTACCTGCTGACACCTCTGAGGCAGGACAGGATGAGCCAGCTAACCTGAGCTCAGCTCTTATACCTGGGGGAAGGGAGGGGAGACAGGGGGAAGGGAAGCGAGGCAGGGGGCTGGGCCTCATCCCTAAGCCACCCCGGCAATTGCAGCTGCCAGGGCTATGAGCCAGCTGTGTGGGCTCCACCCTCCATTGGCCAGAGCTCCAGAGCCCGCCCCATCTCTGCCAGGAAGAGAGAGTCACAGAGGGCTGGGTCTGCTTGCCCCTGGCCCCAGACCAGGAGGCAGGGTCCCGGGAAAAGATAGGGGAAGAGAGGCAGGGAAAGGAGAGGGGGAGGGCTTGGAAGCACTATAGGGTCGAGCTTGGGAGGAAAGACCTGGAGGAGTTGTAGGGCAGGGAAGGGAAGGGGCCCTGAGCTAATAACCAGAAGTAGAGGCTGATGAAAGCAGGGTTTGCGGCCCAGAGGGAACGAGAGACACGTGGGTTGAGAGGTCTTCAGGGACCTCTCTGTACTTTGATGTCACACACACACACACACACACACACACACACACACACACACACACACACACACACACACACACACCAGGGCCAGTTTGGATCCTGCCCAGATCCCAGACACCGGCTTCCTCAGTCTGGGTAGCAGAGGGATGAAGGAGGCCTGGGTCAGGAAGAAGGAGCCAGAGAGGGGCAGCTGTCCTGCCTTCCCTCAGCTCCCCTCTACCAGCATGCACATGTGCAAGGCCCGAATGAGTTACCTGGCAGCTAATGACCTCTCCAAACTGGTTGGGCTGCCTTCTCTTCCCTCCCTCATGCCTTTCCTACCTCAGTGGCTCCTTAGCAACCACACACACATACACAACCACACAGACACAGACACACACACACACACAATCCAGTACCGAGGGTGCATCCCAGGGAGCAGATCCAGGGACTCAGCCCAACCCCAAAGGCTCTCCTCACCTGATGGAGAAGGGCAGGGGGTCAGGGCAAGGGTGGGGCCCAGAGTCAAAGCTCCTGGACTCCTTTCCTAAATTCTGAGATCAGAGCATACCTCCTGTAAATAATAATAATAATAATAATAATAATAATAATAATAATAATATAAATGGAACCACTTTAACATGGAGTCCAGGGTGCCTGGCCGGTGTAGCTCAAAGAGTCCCATGCCCCAGGAGGTCGCTGGTTCGTTTCCGGGTCAGGACACATGTCGAATTTCCGGCTCCATACCCAGTAGGAGGTGTGCAGGAGGCAGCGGATAGATGTTTCTGTCTCTCCCTCTCCCTTCCTCTCTCTGAAATCTGTAAAAACTTTTTTTTTAATAGAGTCCAGGGTGCCATTCCAGAGGAACTGCCTTGTTTATCTCACTCTTCAAAACTTTTAAAACTGGGCAAAATGATCTTTGGACTGGGCCTAGCAGCACTGTATCCCAAACTGTTTGCAAAGATAACAAGAAAGCAAATAGCAAATTGAACACATTCCTTAGAATTAGCATCCCTATGTTAGCTTACTGCACCTATAGAAATTCCTTCCTTAGCTTATTAACTTCACTAAAAATTCCTTGGGGGAGGGGAACGGAGTGGGCTAGAAGGGGTCAATGGGGGTAAAGGGGGTAAATATATGTAATACTTTCAACAAAAAGGATTAAAAATAAATTTCCTTCATCACTCGAGCCACGTAGTTCAGTTGGTTAGAGCATGTTCCTAATACACCACATTGTGGGTTCAATCCCCTCCAGGGCACATACAAGAATCAACCAATGACTGAATAGATAAATGGAACAACAAATCAATGTTTCTCTCTCCCTTCCTCTCTCCCTCAAATCAACAAAAATAAGTAAATAAATAAATCCTTAATTCTCTCCACCTGTAATTATTCCCCTTCCCTTTCTCATAAATCCCCCTCACCTCTTAATCAGAACATTATCTGGGTTTCTGCCTAAATCAGTGCTTCCAAAAGAATGATTCTTTTGGCCGAAACCGGTTTGGCTCAGTGGATAGAGCGTCGGCCTGCGGACTGAAAGGTCCCAGGTTCAATTCTGGTCAAGGGCATGTACCTGGGTTGCGGGCACATCCCCAGTGGGAGATGTGCAGGAGGCAGCTGATTGATGTTTCTCTCTCATCGATGTTTCTAACTCTCTATCTCTCTCCCTTCCTCTCTGTAAAAAATCAATAAAATATATTTAAAAAAAAAAAAAAGAATGATTCTTTTGGGTCTCAAATAAGAGCTTGTTGCCTCACCCTGTCCTTTTATTTTTAGGTGACCGCTCCAATGGCCTCCGAAGGCCCCTTCTAGGCCCCCGCTGTACTTGTGGCCTCCGTGAAAGGCATCTGTGTGTGTCCCAATGAGGCCCTTCTAAGGGTGTCTCATTCTGAAAGTTCCTCGGAGAGGCATCATTCTGGAGACCCTCTGACAGTCTCTCAATCTGAGGGCTTCTCCAGAAGTGCCTCAGCCTGGGGGTCCCTCCGAGGAACTTTCTGGAGCTCCCTCCTGGGGTCACTCACTGTGGGAGCCCCACTGGAATACCTCCGACAAATGACCCTTGGCAGTCCCAGTCTGGGGGTCCCTCTCAGTTCGGAGGCACTTAGAAGGTCTCAATCTAGGGCGCTTTCATGGTGCGAGGTAGGAAATGTACATGTGCCTCTGCACTAATAACTGCCCCAAATGGACACCTGATGGTTGTGCAGTAACAGCCCCTGCAAGTCGGCACCCACTGGGCTGTCCCACCCCTGCCCCCTCTGGTGACGGGCAGTGCAAGCCACATGCCACTCAAGCCAAGGACAGAGAGAGGGGCACCATGGTGCTCTCATGTTCTGCTTCCTGCAGCACCTCCGCCATCATTACCCCGCAGTCCTCGAACCAGAAACTGTGTCCATCCTTCTGTTCCACCCCCGCTCTGGAGGGAGCAGGGAGCGAAGGAGGGAAGGCCCAGCGTTCCCAAGCACCCATCCAGCCAATTCATCGGAGGCACTGGGATTTCCATCCAGTCCCACCTGTTCATGACTTTATGGCTTAACCTCTCTAAAATCTGTTTCCGCCTCTTTAATACGGGACTTACAAATAGAACCAACCTCAAAGGGCTGTGAGAAGTAACTGAGGTAATGCAAGAGGATGTTTAGCACTGTGCCTGGCATACAGCAAGCCTGTGGGGCGCGGCCACAGTGTTTTGGACAGGTTCAAGCCGTGGACTGAGGAGAGGGCACAGTCCTCTCATGGCCACGTGCAAGTCCCAGCTTGGAGGGCAGAGCCTTCCCAGCACAATTATAGCCAACAGCTATAGTTATGAGCTGGAACCTATGGTCCGAACACGTGGCCCCAAGTGCCTGAGTGACATGGCTGTGGGTGCTGGCGCTGTCCACCAGAGATGCAGTGTCCCACCGAGACCCAGCTTTCATTCTCTTGTCTGTCTTTTCTAAGCCTTTCATCACCCCCACTCAGGGTCACTGAACCAGGCTGAGCTGGCATGAGTATGCCATGGCCGTGCCAGCTCCCCACATATGGCGCCCAACCAGGGGCTGAAGTCTGCAACCAGGGACTGAGTTATGAGGAACAGGGCCCGAGTTCGGGCTCCCCACACAAGCCGTCAGCACGTAGTCACGACTATCATCTCCCAAGGACACAAAGCCCAGGAATAAGAAAAATGGGAACTAAGACCATGCCCCTGAGCCCTAGAAGGCACCAGTAGAATGAGTCACCTCATCTGGCCCAAAGATCTGTCTCTACCTTTCATATATTCATTCACCAACCATTTATTTGTCGTGCAACCTAACCTGAGCACGAGACCTAGGTGCTAGATGCTGCAGAATATTTGAAGATGAGTAACATTCCTGGTCCTCAAAGAGCCCATAATTTTTGGACCCACCCTCAGGTCAGAGCAGAGCTTTCCCACCCCCTGGTCTCAAGAGAAGAAATCAGGGTGGGCACGAGTAAGAGACATTCGTGTGTCAAGGAGAAGGCTTTATTTGCAGGGAGTAGAGTTCTGCCTGGTCCTGCCCATCTTATCCCAGCCAACCGGACTTCTTCTGCGTCTCCTTCTCCTTTCTGATCTCTTTGGCCAGCTCCCCAATCAGACTCCAGTACTCATCGAACAGGTGCTTTGAGTCCCCTTTCACATTCAAGCTCTTCATCTTCTCATCCAAGGAGCCCACATCCTAAGGAGACACCAAAGGGAAGGGTGAGGTTAGAAACAATGGTTCTGGAGAGGGAGAGAGGGAAGAACGGCTGGTTGCCATTCCCTTCCCTCAGGGAGTGTGAGGACCGGACCCAGACCTTCGAGACGAGGCTGCAGCCCCAAGACAGGATTGCCGGGGGGCCCAACTCCAAGGGAGAGGAGCACAGGGAGGTGGGGACTTGATTCATAGTGTTTGCTGGGGTGGAAATACCCCCGCCACAGCAGACTAGGAACCACAGACATGGCGATGAACATAGAGCTGGGAAGAGATGCAGGTGTAGGTGGGTTCTGAACACGACTGCACCAGCCCTGGGATTTGTGCAAGGATACTCGGGGAGCCCTTGTAGGCATGGACCCACTCTGATCATCCTCAAAGCCTTCTCAGGCCACCCTCCTCACCCACAGAAAGCTGTGGCTGCTCACTTGCATAAACCTGATGTCTTCTCATATTTCCACTTGAGTCACCAGCCTGGTAGATTGGGGGAATGGCAAAGACACAAGGTGTTTTCCTAGAGGGCCCTTGACTAAGTCTCTCATGACAAGCCTGGGAAATCAAAGGATACTGTAAGCTGGACCGTCATGATCAAAGGATTTGTTGCCAGATAAACAACCACAACCAAAAAGTGGACTGTTTAACAATGCATCCTTGTCAAACCAGAGAAGGGTGCCTCAGGCACAGCTTGATGCTGAATATCTGAATCAATATTTGGATGAAGACAGAGAAGATTTGCCTATTCAATAGATGGCGCAAAGCTGATCCGTATAAGAGCTACACAAGACTTTTTAAAAAGCTACTATCATGTTTAATTGTAGAATACTATAAGCATTGCCAATTGAAGGCAAAGATGCCCAGTGTAACACTATATCGGAGGAGAGAAAACATACAATTAGTCAAGAGAAAGAAATAAAAGGTATAAAAAGTATTGGGAAAGAAGAGGAAAATTCACTTCTTATTATCTCAGCAATTACATCATTGTACACCTAGAAAAAAACAAACACAAAAGAATGATAATAGCTAACATTTCCACAGGTGTAAGCACTTAATAGCGCTGACTGTTCCAAGCATTATGATAACACATTACACTCGCTGGCTTCATTTAATCTTCATAATCTGCTGGAATGAAAGGGTCCATGAGCACAGGGACCTTGCCCATCTTGTTCACCGCTGTAATGCCAATCCCGGGAGAATGTCTGGCACGTAGCAGATGCCTGTTCACCACTGTAACCCAAAGCATAGAACAGCATCAGGACAGGACAGAACACTGACTGAACAAATGCAAGACCAATCCAACCAAAAACATTATTATGAGTCCATTTCACAGACGAGAAATTAAGGCTCTGAAAGCTTACATAACTAACCAAGGATGACATGCTAGAACCTGCATTTGAACCTAGATTGTCTGACTCAGAGCTTATGTCCTTATCCACTATTCTGTATGTCTACCCTCACCCCCCATAAAAGACTATTAGAAGTGATAAAGTAATATTTAGGTATATAAATATTAACCAGTTAGAAACTATAATAAGACAGATCACATTTAAAATAGTAAAAAATAGCCCTAGCTGGTTTGGCTCAGTGGATAGGGCCTCGGCCTCTAGACCAAAAGGTCCCGGGTTCAATTTCGGTCAAGGGCATGTACCTTGGTTGCAGGCTCCTCCCCACCCGGGCCCTAGTCAAGCTCCAGCAAGTCGATGTGTTTCTCTCACATCAATGTTTCTCTCTGTCTTTCCCTCTTTCTTTCACTCTCCCTAAAAACCAATGGAAAAATATCATCAGGTGAGGATTAGCAAATATATATATATGGAGAGAGAGAGGGAGAGAGAGTAAAAAATAAAATAAAATAAAGCACTTAGCATAAATGTAGAAATCTGTTTAGGTTTTGTGAAGAAAACTGAACCGAAGGATATATGCAACACTGTGATTTATAAAAAATATATATTCGGTCCTTCAGATGACTGATCAAAATATAATTCTAATATATACAGCTTGTGGTCTTCCACAGCTCCTGACTCAGAACTCCCAAAACCTTTGGAATATCCTAAGTGTAGAGCATGATCAAGGTGTCTTGTGTTATGTTAATGAGGCCCTGACACATTAGCAACTAGACCTCAGAACATGTATTGAATATAAAAGAAAATTCGAATAAATATAAAAACATACCTTTCTTTAGAAAGAAAGGCTCAATGGTGTAAACATGTAAATGTTTCCTAAAATTTATTTACATGATCCCAACTAACAATCTACAGAATTCTTTTTTTATTTTATGTTTTTTTAAATCCTCACCCGAGGATATGTTTACTGACTTTTTCAGAGAGAGAGGAAGGGAGAGAGAACTATTATCGATGGATTGGTTGCCTCTCCTACTCACCCAACTGGAGATCTAACCTGCAACCTAGGTATGTGCTCTGACTAGGAATCGAACCCGCAACCTTTCCGTATACTGGACTAAGCCACACCAGCCAGGGCTATAGGGTCCTTTTTTACCATGACTAAGTGTTACTAAAATTCTTATTGAAAAATAAACATGTGAGATCCACCAGTAAAAATCTGCATAATACGAGAGAACCAGCCCTCTCTTTCTCTCCCTTCCTCTCTCTAAAAAAATCAATAAAAAACAGCCCAGCCTTAGTGGCTCAGTAGTTGAACATTGGTTGGGTTCGATTTCTGGTCTGGGTACAAGCCTGGATTAGGGCTTGTTCCCCAGTAGAGGGCGTGCAAGAGGCAGCCAAATCAATGATTCTCATCATTGATGTTTCTATCTCCCTCTTCCTTCCTCTCTAAAATCAATAAAAATCTATTTTTTTAAAAATAATAAATAAGCAACATATTGTTGGTTGAGGATTGAAGAGAGAGAGAAAGCCAACTCTACAGATTATTGTTAGGCATATTCTCTACCATTACCCCCTGCTTGGGGCTCTCACCCTCCCTTCAGTTTTCCCATTATTCTCATTTCAGGTTTTGCTAGACATGACACAGCTTTCAGTTTCCAGTAAACCGCCTCACCCAGTTTCCAGTGGACTGCCTACACCTGGTTCGACTGGTTACTCTAAACTTTACAGGAGACATAAATATCCCGCTCCCCCTATTCTGCCCCACTGATAACCCTGGGTGCATAAGGGAGACAACCAATCAATGTTTCTCTCTCCCTCCCTCCCTCCCTTCCTCCCTCTCTAAAATCAATAAGCATAACCTTGGATGAGGATTTTAAAAAATAAAAAAAGACTCAGGAAAAAACCTTTGACCTTCCCCCTAAATGCCTAAAAGAATTTAGATAGAGAACCTGCTCCATAAAGGAACTATCATGATAGATAACTATAGTTTAATATGAATATTGTGTGATAGACAGTGAGGAACCTGGCAAAGCCCATTTGGTAAAAGTCCTCTCTGTGCCCCATTGTTAAAGATGGCCCCGCAAACATTATTTGCTAAACACTTGCTCTTCTGTCTCAATGGGAATTGCCCTCCTGCCCTTTCAAGTCCCAAATCACAATCCCCCCTTCTCCTTGCTCCAGAATGGCATATAACCCCCTACTCTTCTAGGGCCCCATTTTCTTATGGAACCCCCATGTATACACATGTATTAAATTTGGTTAGTTTCTCCTCTTAATCTATTGCATGTTAATTTGATTACGATAGCCAGAAGAACATTCATTTTTACTCCCCTACAGAGAAGCAAAATCAGAATGACCGGAGGTAGAAGGCAGAGAAAGGGAGGCTTAAAATTGAGACTTTGGAAGTGGTGCGTTATTTCGGTAATAACAAGATCTGAAGCCTGAGCAGAGGAGTGGAATGCTGAGATGCAAGAAGACAGAATCTTTGGAAGTGAGGCATTCTCAAGAAAAGGAAAGGGCCAAGTGCTAGATGGGCAGTCTCTGTGGATACTAAGGATAATGACAGTACCAGCAATGAGAATAAAACAATGAGCAAGGAGCTGAAAAGCTCTAAGAAAAAGCAGGTGGTATCTGAGCTTCCAAGGAGCTGGGCATTTAGAAAGAAGGAAAAACGAAGGTCCGGAAGCAGCGATGAAAAGCAAAGAGGTCACTCCTGCATTTCCAGGCCCAGAGGAAGCTGGATTTGGAAGAAAAACCACTCGCTATGTGACGAGGCTACAGGAAAGGCTGTATTTTCAGGAGAGAATCTAAAGTTTCCTGTGAGAAGAGGAAGGGAAAGGTCTGGGAAATCTAAGGATGTAGGGCAGTGGTCGGCAAACTGCGGCTCTCGAGCCACATGCGGCTCTTTGGTCCCTTGAGTGTGGCTTTTCCACAAAATACCACGTGTGGGCGCGCACGTACTGTGCAATTGAAACTTCGTGGCCCATGCGCAGAAGTCGGTATTTTGTGGAAGAGCCACACTCAAGGGGCCAAAGAGCCGCATGTGGCTCGCGAGCTGCAGTTTGCCGACCACTGATGGAGGGGATTTTGCAAATGATAGACTATGAGTTTCAAAGACCAGTTTGCTTGCTTTTAAACCCATCTTCACACACTTTTATGTGCCCATGACTTTTCAGAAAGAAACTGTTAGCAGCCTGGGGAGGATGTACCAACCCAGTGGCGATGACATTTAAATCCCTCTTCTGCCAAACCGGTTTGGCTCAGTGAATAGAGCGTTGGCCTGCGGACTGAGGGGTCCCCGGTTCGATTCCGGTCAAGGGCATGTACCTTGGTTGCGGGCACATCCCCAGTAGGGGGCGTGCAGGAGACAGCTGATCGATCTCTCTCATGGATGTTTCTAACTCTATCCCTCTCCCTTCTTCTCTGTAAAAAATCAATAAAATATATTTTAAAAAAAAAAAATCCCTCTTCTATCCAGTGAGGAAAGAAGGAATGACCTTGTCAGGCACATGACTGAGGGGATTCCCAGAGAGGGTGGGCAGGAAGCACAGTTGCTGAGAGCCTATGAGTACATGAATTGGACTGTGGGGTTTTTTGTTTTTGTTGTTGTTGTTGTGTTTTTTCTAAACCCCTCCCCACAGCTGGGCCTCAGATTCCATCATTGTTAAGTGAGGAGTGTGGACCGTATTTTCTACTGGCCACCAGCTCTGATGGTCTGTGGATCTCCTGGCAGGAGCTTTGGGCCCAGTCCTGTGTAAGGGAAATGGGACCAGAGAGGCACAGAGCAGACACAGGAACCTACAGCATCTTCTGATGGGAGCACAAAGCCCACTAACACTTCCCCTCACACAGACACAGAGTTGCCTAGTCACACACACACCAGGCAAGATCAGCCAGGACCACTCGCACAAGCAGTCGACTACACTCTTGTCCACAACACGCCTGTGGTGACATGATTGTGCCCAGCAATGTCGTGTCACATATACAGAGTCTCACAGTCACTATCTGCCAAAACCTCAGGCCCAGAGACTCCTACCTACCTTGACCAGGTGAGGGAACTGCTGAGTGGCCATTTCCTTAAAGTCATTGACGTTGAGGCTGCCCTTCTGGCCCTCGCGCTTTGCAAAGGTGCAGAAGGCATGGGCCAATGTGTCAATGGCTGTCTCCACCTCAGTCAGTGGCTCTGCTGCCATTAGGATCCTGCGGACTATAGCTGATGTCCTCTGGGGGCTGACCTGCTGGAAGGGGAAGGAAAGAGAGAGTCAGGATAGGCCAGAGTGCCCCTGTCCTGGTGGCCACCTCAAGCCTCTGTCTGGACAAGACATTATGGGGAAGGAAGGAGAAGACAGGGATGGAGCTTGGGCAGGGGAGTACCTCAGTGCAGGTGCAGGGAAGGGTATTCATTTCCAGAAACCCCTTCCTCTCTAGATCTCAGTCCAGGGTCCTTCTGTTTTGTTTGTTTGTTTGTTGTTTAAATATATTTTTATTGACTCCCGAGAGGAAGGGAGTGGTAGAGAGAGAGAGAAACATCAATGACAGAGAATCACTGGTGGGCTGCCTTCTACACGTCCTCTATTGGGGATCGAGCCTGCAACCTGGGCATGTGCCCAGGTCAATATTCGAACCATGACCTCCTAGTTCATAGGTCAACACTCAACCACTGAGCCACCCCAGGGGTCCTTTTGCAGTGCCTGTGTGTTAAGGACCGCGCTGTGGTGGTCCCTCAGCCTGAACCCTGACCACAGGTGTGTTGTGGACAAGAGTGTAGTCGACTGCTTGTGCGAGTGGTCCTGGCTGATCTTGCCTGGTGTGTGTGTGACTAGGCAACTCTGTGTCTGTGTGAGGGGAAGTATTAGTGGGCTTTGTGCTCCCATCAGAAGATGCTGTAGGTTCCTGTGTCTGCTCTGTGCCTCTCTGGTCCCATTTCCCTCACACAGGACTGAACCCAAAGCTCCTGCCAGGAGGTCCATAGGCCATCAGACCTGGGTGGGCAGCAGAAACTATGGTGCACACGCCTCACTTAACCATGATGGAAACTGAGGTCCAGCTGGAGGAGGGAGGGGGGAGAGAGAAAAAACACAAGAACAACAACACTCCAGCCCACGCCTGCAGTCACAGCATCTCGGGGAGGAGGCTTTCAGGCTGAGGGGAGCCCTGTCAGCCTCCTGACTGCTCTGTGGGGTTCAGTCCCAGGGCTCTTGCTGGAACCTCACCCAACCTCAAAGGGCCAGGAGGCTGCTTGCCTCCAGAGCTTGCTTGTTTGTGCGGGGACCTAGTCATCACCCGCAGGCACTCGGCCTGCCCCTCCCAGCAGAGCAGCCGGTCTGCAAGCGACCGGCTCCTGACTGCCGCCACCCAGGAGGGGTTCCGCCCCGCACCCACAGCCCAAGGGCAGGGGAGGGCTGCGGGACCTGCGCTCATCCTCTGCCAGCCGCCCCTCCGCTCGCTCCCGGGGCCTGCGGCTGCTTGGCCCCAAGCCTCTTCCAGATCCCCGCGGAGGGCTCCGGGGCGGGGCCTGGGAACCCAGGGAGGAAAAGGCTCCTCGGGCTCCCTCCCGAGTTCGGGGGACACAACTCACCGGGGCGAGTCGCACAGATGGGGTGCAGCGCGGGCGAGCAGCGGAGCTGAGGTTTATAAGCGCTCAGGCCGGAGGACACAAGTTTCCTTGTTGATTCTGGAGCGAGGAGACGCCCACGGCTGCTGCCCCTCCCGCACCCCCCCACCCCACCCCCCCGCCGCCCAGCCCGGCCATCTGCCCTGGAGCCCGGCTCTCCCCCAGCCCCGCGCTAGCCCAGCCCACGCGCAGACCCCCTTTTGGCTGGGGGGGAGGGGGGGAGGGGGGAGAGGACCTGCCTGGAACTGCCTAGCCAGATCCCATTCAGCCTGCAGCTTACGGTCCTGTTCCTCCCAAAACGGGGGCCTGAGTCCCACCACACCCCCACGTCTAATCAGGAGTGTGTATTGGGGGGAGAGGGGGTGACTGCAGATTGAAAGAAACAAGGGAGGGCGCTCAGCACTGAGAGGCCCGATCTAAGAAGCACCCCCCCCCCTCAGAATGGGGTCTCTCTAAGGACCCTGCAGCCCCAGATCCCCTCAGAGAGTCCCAGACTGAGGCGCCACAGACAATGGGATCAGACTGAGACCCATGGAGGGGACCCAGGTTGCAATCTCTCCTGGAGTCTCATCCTGGAAGCCCTGGGGGAGCCTTCCAAGACTAAATTATTCAGTGGGCTCCTCCCCTTCCCTGCCTAGCTGGCCACAACCAGGTACTGGGGGGGGGGGGGGGGCCTAAGGGGGGGCACTCAGTGTCCTTCTCAGGACCTTTCCCACTCCCCTTCCTCCTAGGCTCTGCCTTGGGGCCCAGCAGTGGGGGAGAGGCGACCAAGCCTGGAAAAGAAGACATAGGGCAGCTTGTTCCAGCCCAGAAGACAGAGGGCACCTCTGTCCACTCCTGGCCCCTTGCCCCACTGGGTGTCTATCTGTGAAGGGGTGGAGCCGATGGAGGGGGGTCAGTGGGGAAGGAGGACTGAAGACAGGTCTCCCCACACAGCTCCAGGAGCCACAGTCGCAGCCTTGTCCCTCTGTCTGGAACCTGCTCCCGCCTCAGGCCCAGCTGACAGTGAGTAAGTACCCTGCCCGCTCCAACCCTGGCCAGCTGGGGGGAAGGGACCTCAGTCGGGCTCCAAAAGTTTGGGGACGGTGGCATTGTGGTGCACGGAGGGTCTGGGGGGAATTCGGATGATAGCAGTTTGGGAATTGGGGGAGTCAGGGTTTGGAGGGTCGTGAGAGGAGGCAAATGAAGGGCAGAGGGATATCTGGGAAGTAGGTGAGTGGGTGAGGCAGCCAGTGGGGAGCCCAGCCACTGAGTTTCCAGGAGAGCGGGCCCTCCAACCAGGGTGCCCTCAAGTGTCCTCCCAAGGCTCCCTCCATCTCCCAGCTGCTGGGGAGGGACCCACCCTGGGCTCACTTCCAGTGAGATTAGAACGAGAGCAGATGGAAAAGCTGCTCTGCCACCCCTGCCCAGCCAGCTGCGACCCAGGGCAGCCTGAGAGAGGCAGGGCATACACCCTGAGATATCAGGAAGAGGGGGCGCGAGGGAACTACGCCCACTCCCAATTCTCCCTGCGTGTCGCCTCCCGTCTCCTCCGCTTTCTCTGCCCAGACCTCCAGACTCCTCTCTCCCCCAATTCTTTTCTCTTTGTTTTCCCAGGTGCCCCCTCCCTGTCAAGGTCCTCTCCGAACAGCCCCTACATAAAATGCCTGGCTGCTCTGCGGGCTCGAGAGCTCCAGGTGCCCCTCCGGGCTGGGGCCTGTAACTGAGCCTCCAGCACTCCTCCCTCACACGCCCCTTATCCCCTCCATCAGCCAGGCTTGGGTTCCATCTCCCCCAGGTCTCTGTGACAACCGCTTCTCATGTCCAGAGTTCAGGTGACACTCACAAGGGCCCCATTGAAGAGCAGGGATGTCATTTGATCAGGGCCTATTGTCCAGCCCCTCAGGCCTGGGGCAGGATGGGGACACCTGATCTGAGATACCTGAGCTGCCCCCTGAGGCTGTGAAGGGGCTGCCTGTCCTAAGACCCGGGGAAAGAGACCCCTGGCTTGGCAATCTCCTCTCCTCAACGGACCCCTTCGTTTTTCTCCTCCTCTCTCCCAGCCCCTTAAACTCAGAGGACCTCACTCGCTCAGCGTTTTACTGTATCTCCCCCAATACATGCCAGTCCCCTTCTCCCTGCTGCCACTGTCCCCACATCTACCAGGCTGGGCCTTGGGGTGGGAGTGGCCGGCAGCAGGGACAACATCCCCCCTCCCCCCATACACAGGTCTCTCCTCTTCCCTGGAAGCTCTGGCTTCCGGGCAAAGGCTCAGACATTCCTCTCTCCCTTCCCACCACTACCCGGTGGAAGGGGAGGTAAGAGGAACCAAACTAGAGGTGATGGAGGCTCACCCCAGGGAGCCAAAGTGCCATGTGCACGTCAGAACAGAGTTGAAAGACCAAAAAAGGCCCCCAGTCTGCTGACAGGAAGCTCAGAGGCAAGGAGACCCTCTCTCCATGAACCTTGGGCCAACCACTCGGGCTGGCACCTTCACCAGGTGTCCAGGGGCATCAGACGGACTCTATGCCAGGGGTGGGCAGCAGAGTCAAATCTGTAGAGAGGAGCCCAGCCCACCACCCCCAACAGCAGAGCTTGGCTGTGCTAGGCAGGCAATGTCCAGGGTAAAAATAGAGCCAGAGGAAGCCTGGCTGGGTCCTGTGACCATCCCTGCCTGCCTGCCACACCCTCCTCCGTGTCTGCCCAGGCAGCCGGAGACATTGCGAAGTCCACTGCAGGCCTCTAGAGCCGCTCCCGCCATCCTACCTCCATGCCCCAAACCCCGACTCCCCTGGCTGGCGTCTGGATTGAGGGACACAGAGAACGGTCTGGACTTAGATCTGTTTGGGTTCCCCTACATCAGTGATGGCGAACCTTTTGAGCTCGGCGTGTCAGCATTTTGAAAAACCCTAACTTAACTCTGGGGCCGTGTCACATATAGAAATTTTTTGATATTTGCAACCGTAGTAAAACAAAGGCTTATATTTTTGATATTTATTTTATATATTTAATTGCCATTTAACAAAGAAAAATCAACCAAAAAAATGAATTCGCGTGTCAGAGGTTCGCCATCACTGCCCTACATCATAAAGTCCCAGGGAAAGGCACATTGTGACGGGGCTCCGATCTCAAGGCTATTGGGGCTGTGGAACCAGGGTCGGGGGGAGGGCCTGAGCATGGTTCCCAGCTCACTTCCATGGTGGGGGGTGGGTAGGTGAGCTGCGCAATGGGTTCTGAGCTGGAGACGGCGATGGAGACTCTCATCAATGTGTTCCATGCCCACTCGGGCAAGGAGGGGGACAAGTACAAGCTGAACAAGAAGGAGCTGAAAGAGCTGCTGCAGACCGAACTCTCTGGCTTCCTGGACGTAAGCACAGGGTGGAATGGGGAGGGGAGGGGACAGAGTGGGCATCTCCCTGCCATCTCCCCAGCCCAGCCCAGCCCAGCTCACCCATCTCCTTCCTCTCCTGGTTCAAGTCAAAATACCCTGATTTATTCATCACCGGTGCCAGGCCCTGTGTCAGTACATCAGAAACAAGGCTCACAGTCTAGCAGGGAAAGACTGACACCTGAAAGTAAACCTTGAACACCAGGAAGCACACAGACGCTTAACAGAAGTGGCAGAAAATATTATGGGAGGATATTAACCTGGCTGAAGTGGGGCAGCTTCTCCCAAAGAAGTGGCAATGGAGCCATAGATTTCCAGTGGAAGGCTATCAGGGTGAATGCAGACATCTTAGGAGGAGGTGTCTGCATGAACAAAAGCCTGGCAGGAAGAATACGCAGCATGCGCAGCAGTTTTGACTACAGTGAAGGATGCAGAAAAATAGGCTAGCTCTGACCAGGTAGCGTCATCCCCAAATGCCAAGGTTGCAGGTTTGATCTTTGGTCGGGGCACGTAGGGGAAGCAACCAATAAATGCATAAGTAAGTGAAACAACAAATTGATGTTTCTCTCTCTCTCTCTCTCATCAATTAAAAAAAAAAAAAAGCTAAAGGAGAAGTAAAAAGTGAAACAGCTTTGAGATTTTATTAGACCTGGGTTCCAATTGTGACACTGCCACTTCCTAGCGTGTGACTTTGGACACGTTGTTTAACCACCAGCTGTCCACTTGTTTCTTCTCTAGAACAGGAATAATGAAGCCTGCTTCATACTGTTACGTTAGACAAGGCTCCTAAACTCCAGGTGTAGTGCTTACCCCACTGCAGGCACTCGACTTATACCTGATGTTGTCATTACTCTGCCTTGTTGAGGAGCTTATTCTGTGGGCAACAGGAGACTCCGGGTGTCGGTTTTGAGGAGGGCAGCAGAAGAGTCCCATATTTAGATGTAGCTCCCCCTCGTGCTCATCTCTGTCTCCTTCTCCCCAATCAACCACCCCCTTGCCTCTGACTCAGCGCTACAGACATCGCCATACAGTGCTCTCTCTATCTCCTCGATTCGCAGGCCCAGAAGGATGCGGATGCTGTGGAAAAGGTGATGAAGGAGCTGGATGAGAATGGAGATGGGGAGGTGGACTTCCAGGAGTACGTGGTGCTGGTGGCTGCCCTCACGGTGGCCTGTAACAACTTCTTCTGGGAGAACAGTTGAGCAGACAGCCCCAGTGGGCCGCGCCCTTCCCCTCTGCCCTGCCGTACCTGCCCCTACACCCTGCTTTCCTTCCTCCCCACCTGCCCCTCCCCATAGTCCCACCTTTGCCCACCATCCAACAAGGGCGCAAGAGTAGTGGGCCAGACCTACAACTCGTCTTTCATTAAAGGCTTCTCTCTCAACAGCTGCTGTCGGTCTCCTTTGGGCTCTGGACGCGGGTGGGGGAAGTAAAGGTGGCTCACTTCCAACTTGTCTTGTTTGGGGTGGAATCTTATGTGGAGAGAGGTCACAGAACCATTGCCTCTTCCTACTTGAGGGAGTCTCAAGGCCCAGGAAGGGAAGGGTTTAAGGTTCCAGCTGGAAGTGAAGGAGATGTTAGCTTCTCAGCTATAAAAGCCAGAGGAGAATTTCCCTTAAAAGAACATTTAGAGGATCTCCCATGTGCTAGACATCGTGTAGGAACCGGGGATACAACAGTGAATAAAACAAACACACTCCTAACCCTCACACAGATAAAGTCCAGTAAGGATGCCCGACCATTAACCACATACACAGAAATGCTAGGATCCTGATGGGCGGAGGTGGGGGTTGAAGAGGGTGGAGGGTTGAAGATGTGTTCATTCATTCATTCATTCATTCATTCATCAAACATTGAGCATTTTGTGTATCCAGGCATTAGAAAACCCCGTTTATGTCTGTATCAAAATCCACATAGACGGCTGATGAGGGGAAGACCTGGAAGGGAGATCAGGGACTCAAAGATTCCACCCAAATAAGGATTTAACAATTTAACAATATTCAGGCCAAGTTGGGGAGGGGAGAAAGTGAAGAGGAAAATATGGAGGAGAGGGGGGTGACTGGAGCAGGATCCAGTAGAGGTGGCTGGGCGTTCATGGCACTCCACAACTCTCTGGAGAGAGCAAATGATAAGGTGGGGAGAACCAGTGCAAATTAAGAAGTTTATTTATTTTTTAAAAATACTTTTATTGATTTCAGAGATGAAGAGAGAGGGATAGAGAGATAGAAACAGCAATGATGGGAGAGAAACATCATCAACCAGGGCACGCGTCCTGACCGGGAATCGAACCCGGTGACCTCCTGGTTCAGGGGCCGGCGCTCAACCACTGCGCCACACCGGCCGGGCCCGCATAAAGCATCTTAGACGCTCTGCCTTAGTTTGGGGAAGCGAGCAGACGCGCGAGGAAATACGAACACGATTCCCACGGGGACCAAAACTTCTCGGAAGGGCCCAGATCTCGTACTAACAGCCCTGCCCGTTAGAAGAACCTCCAAATGCAAGGCCTTGGCCACGCCCCTCCGTGGGCCAAGCACCGCGAGCTCTCAGAAGGGGGCTTCGCTAAAGCCCCGCCTTCTCTCTACGGCTCCGCCCCGATTCCCGCGCAGGCGTAGCACAAACCTCCCCGCCCCCTAGTTGTGCGCAGCTCTGACGTATGACGTAACTGCGTCGACGCCATTTTAGCCGGTCCCACTCCGCACTGGGCGTGGCGGCCATTTTGTTTGGGCACCGAGCGGGAGTTGGTGGCGGCGGTTGCGGTGGCACCGACGAAAGGCAGGAAAGGGCAGGCCGTGTGGGCAGGTGGACCGGCTGAGCCCAGCAGACAGACAGCCAACAGCGAACTGACCTAGCCGTCTACCACTTACGCATCTAGCCAGCCAAACCAGTTCGCCCGAGCCCCTTCACCATCAACTCAGGTTCGGCCGGCCCCCGGCCCCCCTTCCGCAGCCGTCGTGGCAGCCCCGGGAGGAGCACTGGCGTCCTTTTCCTTCGGTAAGTTTCTGTGGTGAGAAGGATAGGCTCGGGGAGCGGAAGGGCCGGCGAACCGGACGGGGTTGGGATGTGGGAGTCGAGAGGGTGCTGGCGCGTGGGAGCCCGGGGAGGGGCGGGGCCTCGGGGCGCGAGGCGGGGCGGGGCCCGGATTGGAAACTGGCGGCGGGACTGCGGCGAGAGGTTGCGGTTTGCTGTGCGTAGAAAGGAGAGTTGTTTGGCGGGTGGAGCAAAGTTGGCGGTCTTGCCAGGACTTCGAGATGGTAGAGAGGTGAAATGAGGACTGCGGGGTTTGGGGGGACGCTGGAAAGTCATGGCAGCTTTAAGGTTAAATGTCATCGGGCGCTCACGCCCAGGTGAATGCCCGATCGGGAAGCCTGGCCTGCTCCCTCCCCCCACCCCTCCCCCAGGTCCCCAGCCCCTTGCCCAGGCCCCCTCTTGTTCTGGAGTCGGTGCCAGTTTGAAACTCGGCCTGCCTGTGTCCTCTCTGCGCCGGTGGTTCTCGGTCGGGGCTGCACGTGGGAAGCGCCGGGTAGCCTTTCTTCCCCTCTCCGGTTGCTGATCCCCAGACCTCACCACCCGATATCGATGTTTAATTGGCTTGGGCCCAGGTTCCTGCATATTTTTTTTTTTTAAAAGCTCCTTGCAGCCAAGGTGGTTGAGGACTGCGCTAGATGGAAAGCCAGACTAGAGTCTTAAACACTCCCTTCAGCTAGGCCTGGGTCTGCCGTTTGGGAGGCTTTGGCAGATATTTTCTGGCCCTTGGCCTTGAAGTGTGCTAGTTTGACATGACTGTCTTAGAAGCTTAAGCACCTGGAATGAGTTTCAGTGTGGTCTTCAGGAGTCTTTGATGCAGGCCTTTTCATTCATTCATTCACTCACTCACGCACTCACTGCTGCCTTGGGCCCCGGGCCCCGGTAGAAATGAGGTCCTTGTTGTTTCTGATGTGCTCATTCTGCCTATTGTCCTTTGTAGATCCTCGGGATTTGAAGATGGCTGCACAGTCAGCACCGAAAGTTGTGCTAAAAAGCACCACCAAGATGTCTCTAAATGAGCGGTGAGGCAGCGAACAGCAACTTCAGCTCGTTCATAAGAAAACATTCCTTAAATTGGCCCTGGGGTCCAATGCACAAAAGCCGGTTTTAAAACTAAATACCAACAGAAGGCTACAGACCTCTGTTCTTAGTTGCATCTTATTTATGTGGTACACAGAGCAAATTGGGCAGTTGTTTCAAAACCCCTTACCAGTAGATTTTTATGTTAAGCTGTCTGAAATATTGATTTGGTGGGATGTATTTTAAAAAGACTCCTCACACCCTCCCTTTTCTTCACATTTTTTTAACATTGACACGGGGATGGTGCAGCTTGGTAGCACAGTACCCTGGCTGCAGTAGGCTTGCTGCCCAGTCCAAGGCCAGCAGTGTTGTGTCTGGCCTGTAAGAGGCGGGTAGCAAGCTTTGAATATGTCCAAAGGCCCTTGAATGCCATTCTTGGGCCTTGTAAGAGGCACTTGCTTTTGCTCCATTTCACTTTCTTTCCATTCTGCTTTTCGTTTGTTTTTGTTCTGGATTCTTTTACAGCTAAGTGTTCTTCTCTTCCATTCCATTAAGCTTATTTTACAGAAATAATAGAGTGTCTTCACAAACTCTTAAAACAGTTGAACTAATCTAACTTTTCCAGAAATAGTTGAAGTAAAAAAAATTTAATCATTTCAGACTAAGAAAATCAAAGATATTAAAAGGCGGTTTCTGTCTATGAGGGCTCTGTTCATTGAGAGCCTTTGGCCAGTGATTTTAGACCACGTATATTTTTGCCTTTTTTGAAGCATATGTGCTCCTTTTCTCTTGGATACACTAATTCCTTGTATTCACATAACTAAGTGGACAAATACATAAGAAAATGTGATGCATTCCTATAACTTACATGGGCGCATTATTTCCATGGGCTTTGAAGGTGCTCTAGTCCTTCCTTATATTTGCCCTTAAAATGCACCCTCAGTTCTCCCAGGGTTTTGACTTTCTTTGTTTGTCTTTGAAGCTACATCTTTTGTCTCGTGTTGTCATCATATCTGCTTACTGCGTGTTTTTCATACCTTTCACCTCTCTAAAAGCCGTTACTTGAGCCCTTGTTATCACTTTTGATTGAATGTGCTGCACTTAGCTGCATTTCTAAGTTTCTGATTCTTGCAAGTTTATGGAAGCAGAGGAGTCTTTAACCCACATCAGCTTTGATCTAAGTGTACCGCTTTACTTAAAAGTTCGTGGGATCTGGAGTTCCTGGTCTAGCAAGCCATGAAAATGCCAATAAATGTTTTATAATAAAGCTTTTATTTAAACATCCATTTTGTTCGACCTTGAAGCTTTACTAATATGCTGAAGAACAAACAGCCGATGCCAGTGAATATTCGGGCTTCGATGCAGCAACAGCAGCAGCTAGCCAGTGCCAGAAACAGAAGACTGGCCCAGCAGATGGAAAATAGACCCTCTGTCCAGGCAGCATTAAAGCTGAAGCAGGTGAGAGAATGAGTCTGAACATTCCAGAAGCAGCTGGTGATTGCTGTCAGGCAGTCCACTAAGACTGTCAGGAGTGATACAAGGTGGCTCAGGGCAAAAGCTGAAACTTCTCTGCAAGAAAGAGAAGTTCAGAGAATCCCCATTTTGTCAGGTACCAAGAAGTAACTCTTTGTTGTCTTTCTCTTTTTTAGGGTGTTTGCCATCAATGTGGCCTGTTTCTCTGTTATCAATGAGTGCTAATCTCCTGTTTTCTGATCCTTTGCCCTTAAAGTAAATTCACTGGCTTTTTCTACAAAGAAATTTTGGTTTTAGATGACCTTCAAAAAATCCTTTATTCCCTGTTACATGATTTACAAATCAGGGATGTGCTTTCTCCCCTAGTCCAGGGGTCTGAATGGCCTCAGTCAGTGGTTTCTGTGCTAACATATAGAAATAATAGGATGACCCTCATCTCCACAGCACCTAAATTTTTGTCAGTAAAGTCCAGCGAGAGCACTGAGTAATTTAAAAGTTAATGGGTTTGCTTTCAGATTTCCAGTAAGAGATAATCCTATTCAGACCTGAAATAAAAACCTGCTCTTTATTATTCATAGACTTTATATGCAAGTCCGGACAGTGGCTGTGGAAGGATATGTCCAAGCTGTGGCTGGGCGTCTGAAGGGCGGTGCCATGCAACTGTAAGGACTAACTGGTAGCACTGCATGGCTGTGCATAAATTCAGCAGTTAAATATAACACCCACCCCCACCCAGAACCATTGGGCTCACTGACCAAAAATAAACAAGGCCTTCTGCTTCAGCTACCTTAAGCCTTGGAGTGACTGTGCTCGTCCCTGACTCAGGAAGGCAGTAAAAGGCACCACCGTTTTCTAGGAGTAAATATAAA